GTTAGAGAACCACTGCTCTACACGATGCAAGTGATTCACACTTTCAAAGCGCCTTAGATACCAACCGCTCATAAACACTGGTATTCCGTGTCCCAGGGACTACCAGCTGCGTTTTTAGCCATGGTGATGCAAAAGCCACCATCTTAAAAATGAGCAGGCTTAGAACTTCGTGAAATTTGTGAAACTTTGAAGCAATGATATCATTACCCTGAAAACAGAAAATGGAGGATTGCAGATTGATTTGGGTTGCAAGCGAACAGAACTGGACTTGAGAAACCTCTTTGGAAATGAAAGGACCTTTGAGATGTCATGCTGTGGGTTTCCCATGGCTTAAGAAAGGAGCACAGTGCTTCGGGGCGCTGAGAAATACCTTCTACAGGAGCCTCAGTGAAGCCTGACGGGGAAAGAGAGACAGTAGAGCTGCCAGCTGAGCGAACTCCGCTGCTCGAATGCCTGAGATACATGAAGGACTGCACCTTCTCCTGATAGAGCTTGCCATCTAAAATGCACACAAAGCAGAGACAGAGGATTAATGTCTTTCTGCAGACAACCATCCATTTCAGAAGTGCTGTGGCCTCTTACAGAGATTTGGCACCTGCCTGGATATCAACATTGTCCCACTGTTTTTCTAGCCTAGAAAATCTTTTCCTACAGTCCAACACTAGATTAACCCATAAAAAAACATTTAAGCAAGCAGCAATTCAAATTTCTTGTCGTTTAATCCAAACAGTATATCAATGGTAGATTCTGAAAATCTGCTCAGCCACTTGTACGTTCACAAACCACGTACATTCTTGTAGAGGAATTAAGTTAACATATCCATTAATAACTCAAGGTTGAGGACTGAAATGATGCCACATACCGTTTGTCTTTTGACCAAGAAAATGTGCTAAGCAGCGTAGAAAGTTCTTATTTTGTTTGGTTTACTCTAAGATTTGAATCTTTGATGTACTTAAAAGACCTCCTCACAAAGAAGCTATGTGCTTGATGGTTCAGCCATTTCTCACCATTTAGTTACTTCCAGCCAAAACCGTCAGCAGCTTCCTGGCTGAGTGAACATTACTCTAGGGCCCAAGTGAAATGGGGGTGGGGGCGGGGTCTCACCAATATGCAGAGAGAAGTAGAAGCTGGAGGGCGTGTGGCAGACGTAGGTGTTCGTGGGGGGATGTACTGCAAGCAGAAAGTTGTAGATGAGTCTGAGAAGGTCCAGGTCAGGGGGGGATCCCAGCACCTCCTGGATGATCTTGACGAAGGACAGGCAGACATCCTGTGGGATTGATGTCAGGTGCTCGTTACGATGCTCCTGAAGGACAGAAAGGAAACCCGAACAGGGGAACTCCATTAGAAAAAAGGCCTGTCCAGTGCACCAGTGAACAACAAGCATATTGACGTGAATAGCTCTGAGGAAAACACCAGACTTTCACAAGCTCACAGAGAATTGTAGATACAGAGGCTGCCTAGTTTGGAGTGCTTGCCTCCCTTTACTTTTTTTCACAGGGTTAAACGTACTTTGCTGTAAGTACTGTAAAACATTGCAACCACACAGAAGGGCTTGTGGAAAGGAACAGCCCCTCTGCAGGAGGGCGGGAAAGTTCGGACTGCACGTGGTTACAGAAGGGCTTAGCGGGCCCAGTGTTGTACCTGCAGCACTTGACAGGTGAGCAGGAAGTGATGGACCACCTGCGCCTTTAGGAGCTGCTTGATGTTGAACACCTGCTGGGGGTGGTGAACCCTGATGAGAATCTCCAGAGCTGCCAGCAAGGTCTCCCAAACGCCACTCTGAAAGACAAGCAGACACAATGGCTTATACATGTACAGTGTTGGGGACACAACAGTCAGGACGGCTTCCCCATACACATGGTGCAACAGACAGAATAACTCAGAGTTAACAGAGAAAGAAAGCTGAAATATAGCACAGAAAAAACCTTGAAATCAGTTCTACGCCTTTTACACCACATTGCATTCCCATCAGAATTATTTTTACCTGATTTTTCTCATATCAAACAAGCCTTTAAAAGTCTGCAGGTTTACCCACGTGTGAACAGTTATTGATTATCATAGCACGGTGCAGAGCATAAATTTGTAGTGTGCATAATGTTTAAACTCCCTTTATTTCTTATCCATGAAACTATCTCCATCACAGATTTCATGCTAAACCCACTACACTCTGCTGTGGTTGGGTCACCAAGATGAAAAGAAATAATTGTCGGGTGGAAGGAAACCATGGAGGGCAGCAGTCTAAGGGCTACCTGAGCCTTGGCCCAGATCTTCCAGTCCCGCAGCACCTCGGACAGCAACGTGAGGTCCACAACCACAGCCGTAGACTCCGGATCCAGCCTGAACTGGCCGTCTTCGCTCACAGTAAGGACCTGGCCACTGCAGCAGCCATCGAGCAGGGTCTGGGCACAAGCCACAGAGCAGTCAGGGTGGTGGAGACAATCAAGACAGGGACACAACTGCTTTCAGTCCACAATTAACCCCATAGCATGTCACCGATATGAAAGTTGTAATGTTATACCTTTTATCCTCATCAGGGGAAAACAATTTATATTGGTGACATACAGAATCAGTGATGCCATCTCCATACAAACAGACCATCTGAATGACTATTAAAACAAAAGTCAACACGTCGGATGTTAAAGTGAGCTTAGGGTTTTTGTTCATGCAGTTCAATACAAATATTCTGGAAAAACTGGATTACTGCAAAACTATGCATTGTGTTCCAAAAACCCAGGTGTATGGAAATTATGACAGAGGAGGCAGACAAACTCGCAAACTATGATGGCATTGTAACATACTAGTACTTATAACCAGTTCAAGAAACGTATCTGTACGAGATTAATGATGTCATACCTTAAGATTTAAATAATACCTATTCATAAGCCATTAAGAAAGGCTCCTGCACAAAGGAAACCATTCATTCAGCACCACTACACCGCCCATCACTCCAGCAGAACAAAAGCCTTACTTCTGTGCTCCACCTGCATTATTGAAACCCACTTTCATACATGTATGCGAGGAACAGATTATCTGTAATTATATAAATGGCAAGACAATGGAAAGGGCATGTCATGGGCCCAGGATATGGAAAAGGTCATATCCCTTATAGCTCTGTCATGACAATATTTGTAGATCTAGGCAAGCTGGGAAATATCAGGTAGGTGTGCATCAATTGAGGGTTGCTGGTTTGACTGACCACAGCTGGAGCTTGTGTATAAAACGGTGTGACAAACACAGCCCAAGGTCTTTTGTTTGGAGTCCAGAATGGTGGATATCAGTTTAGGGAAAATAATTATTTTCTCAAAGAATACAGAAGGTGAACTTTCACAGTTTTAAGGGAAAGAGGAAAAGAAAACTTCAAGAAAAGTAGAGTATTGTTGTTGCTAAGTCAGTGTAAGAGATTAGCTCCCTCACCAGTACTAAGACATGGAATATAAATTAGGATGTTATTCCACTTTCATGCAAGAGGACAAGTGTAAGTAATCCATCTGTGGTGACCAGGTTCATACATCAGACATACAACACTGCATTTCAGACATTTTACATTCTATCAGGCTTTCTGCAAACGTGAAAGTAAAGTGACAACCATTACAGTGCCAGAAAATGGATATCTAAAAAAATACCAAAAACAGATACGAGCTAACAAGGCCTTTGTAAAATCAACTCCTGCTCAGACCCAGCAAGTCTGTGCATTTCAGACAACACACAAGAGAAAGCTCCTGAGGGTAGAGGCACTTTTGGAATGCCAACTGGACAAGATTATGTCAACAGGACTGAACACTCAGAACTTATTCGGCCTCCTTGATAGCCAGAGAGACAAGTTCAGACTGAAGTTTATTTATGTTCATGTTTTTGGAGCACATAACAGCAATGTCATGTCATGTTAATGGTTCTGCAGAGGCACTGCTGACCTTTAGCATATGGTAGCCCACGATGCACTTGGACTTGATGAGCACCTGGTGGATCATGGAGTAGCCATGGCAGCTCTGCATTTCGTGGACCCGGTGCTGGTTGTACCTCACGAGGGACAGGAGCACCTGCAGGGCTAATGCCTGAATCTTCTCACAGTCACTGAGCTCCACTGCCTAAAGAGAGAGAGAGTGAGAGGGGCTGTGTGGACGAGAGACGTTACCCACCAGCTTCTCCTGTCTGAGAACGCAGCCAGCAGCCCACCTCCAGAGGTTTGAATCTTCAAAATCACACTGTGCAGGAAATTACATTTCATTTCTGTGTGCTGTGCAGTCAAAACCAGACAGACTCATGAAAAAAGCAATTACCTACCTTTTATATAATGTCATTTTTTAGACAATGTGGGATAACTGCAGTGTTCGAAAGCATTGCTAATTGCATTGAATATTAGTGGAGGTAGTAAAAATACACGTCATCTCAACAAATAAGACAATTTGCTTTACAATTTAATTCTAAAATGCTTTTTTTACAAAATGTAAACTCCTTAAAAATCACATTAAAACCTGGACTCTCAGGGTTTCCAGGGGAGCTCATCCAGCAAAGTGCTGGCTATAACCTGCTGGGTTCGAGCCTGGGTCATGATACTAGCCAACTGTGACTGTGACTCTCCAAGGTTGTGGTGACTCTCCAAGTGGCTCAGTGTCCCCCCCAGCCAGGGTAGAATCCCAAGTAAGATCTGGGTTAGCCAATCAGCACTATCTTGATTCCAAGAGAAACTGAATCCTGGGCCTGCATGTTCATGGTGATGTCAGTGAGCCTCCCAGCCAATCGGCACAGAAGCTCCTGTACGTCACTGCTGAGCCTGTAGTGTGTCTAGACATAAATGGCAGGTCAGAGCATGTCTGCACTTTCTCAGTCTCCCTTGGAGGGTACAGGGGCTTTTGATAGGAATCCAGATTTGTAGAAAAAGTCCCTAAGGGTGCAGATACATAATGAAAAATGGTTTGTCAATTCTCATCCAAATGTCCGGGTTCACCAATCACAGGTCATTCGGTACTGCTGTGAGGACACTCACCCTTGCGAAGAGGAAGACGAAGGTCCCAGCCCCCCCGATCCTGTGCAGAATGCTCTGAAGGCCCTGGGGCTCGGTGGGGCACAGGGTCCTCAGGTACTGGGGCTCCAGCACCATGCTCTGCGCCTCTTTAGCACTGAAGGGTCTCTGAGAGGCCACCATCTTGGCCTGCCCCTTCAGGCGGATCACCGGCTCGTAGATGGTGTACTGGGCTGGGCAGCTGGGCGCATAGGCCACTGCTAGGCTTTCCTGAGAACACATAGGCAGACCTCTACTGCTCCTCTAGAGAAGACTTCATCAAGACTTCAGTCTCACAAAACCCAGAGGTACAGCTTAGATATTCACAGGGTATTTTAAAGAACACTTCCACTATAGAAAATGGTATAGTTCTTCATTTTTTAAAAGCAGCTGTAACACTTTATCTAAACTTATCTTGAAATTATCTAAACCTTATCTGGCATTGTAATAAGTGCAGTAAAGTACAGAAATTGAGCAAAATCCTTTAAAGACCTTTAGATGTCATGGCAATCTTTCTGAAACAGTGTATCATTTAAATTACAGCTTTGGTTGAAAATGTAAAATACTGGAAACTGAATATTAGAAAGGCAACAGGCAACTTTTCCTGTAGTTCCTCTAACAACATCTAACAATGCCTTTACTGAAAAAGGAGGCGTTTTGAAGGCACTGATTCCTGTCTTCTGTGTGCTGGGAAAAAATCCAGACTCAATGACATGGCAGACACTTACAATCAGTGGCCCAGGGTCGATCTCCCTGTTCTTCATCAGCAGCTCCTTCAGTTCCTCACACTGCAGCCCCTCCAGAGTGATGTACTTGGAGAACCTCAGGCTGGGCTTCCCGTATTTGCACGGCATAATGGAGGTGAAATCTGGACCACTGGCATACAGGTAAAACGCCTCTTCGGGACCAATCCTAGAGCCTGGAAAAGACAGAGACGAGAGATCAGTCAACAGAAAGACCCCAATGCAAGTGTGTTAAAAGTGAAGCTCCAGAGTGCTTTACATCCCCGTATCAGTAGTTTCAATTTAAACTCTGAACCAGGCCTCTACTGCCTTTACTTAAAGCGTTATTACAAAATGTTTAAGGGGACATCATTCCAGGTGGAAATTGCCTCTCAAAGTCCATGACAGTAAGAGGTTTTAATCTAAGTGGTTTCAACTACTGATGTACTTCTCCACATTCAAGAGGGAAGGTGTATTCCATTTTCTGGGGATTTTTCACTGTTGAAAAATCCAGGTGTCACAAAAAATGGTTGAGTTAATAAATATCATTTTTTTTTAAAGGGGAACTGCAACACTATTTTTATATTTCGGGATCAGAAAGAATCTGCATTGATGAGTGCATTTCAAACCATAATGAACTTCAAATGTACACAGTATCTGCAGCTCCATATTCTGCGATTCAGAACGAGGCAACAAAACTTCTGGTGATGTGTGCGGCCTTATGATATTGCAAACAAACAGGCTTGTGAATACATAACCCAATAGAAATATGGCTCTCGACTGCTAGATGGTTTTGATGACAAACACTACTTGTTAACTGTCATATTTGAACATTTCTGTATTGAAATGTCTGCTGCACAACCTGTACTTATTGGCTGGTACATCACGTTACATTAGTCATTACAGTGACTAGTGAGCAGGAAGGGCTACTTCATGTCATAATTTGGCAAACTATCGCTCTCGGCCTCGGAGAGACCAGGGATTTTAGACAAAAAGAAGACCATACAGTACTTTCACAAAGTTCACGATTTTGTGCTTAATTTGGAATTTGTCAACTTTTCAAGACTGTCAATTAATTTGTTTATTTAACTCCCGATCTGAGATTGCTGTACTGCTGTTCCCCTTTTACGGTTGTGTGTGCGATTGTAAATTCTCCTGAAAAACACCAAGCATGTCCAATTGGATCTCTCCAACCTTTTCACTGCCCTAACTGGCTTTTTTGAAGACCGGCGTCTTACTTTGGGAGTGCAATCATGCCTGGTGTGACAGATGGAGAAGAGGGCCTTACCGTTAAAGAGCAGCAGACTGCCAATGTCCCAGCTCCCTGCCAGTCTTGACTGGTCCTCTGCTGAATGAACATAGTGGCCCACCATGCAGAAGGTCTTATTGCTGTCTGAGGATAAGCTGGACTTCCTTGGGAGAGTGTAGTCCAAAGAGATTTCGCATTTCCTGCAGGGGGAATACAAGTGTGCATGATATTGCTTGTTCATGCATTTATCCATTTACCACTCTGTCACTTGCCTTTTGATTTCATGGAGTAAACAAAAACTGCCTTTAAATGGAAAATCTTTCACAGCATAGTACCGATATAAACCCTGACACAAAGGATTCAGGATCACACTTAAACTACAGTAATCTTTAAATCAAGGTATGCTTCTCAACTAAAACTGACTCAACACTACATGTCTGAATGGTAAGAGCCAGATTTGAGCAACACCTCTGTCTTGACAGCGTCGTGCTGCTGACGCGGGTGTCAGTATCATCGCTCAGTGTGCTAGGCATAAAGGTGCCCTACCTCTGCCCCGAGACCCACATCACCAGTTTCCCATGCACATTCTTCTTGCCCTCTGGCTGTTGGGTGTAGTTGAAGGCCAGGTGCTGCCATCTGCCCGGAGTCAGAAGGCCCTCCTCCGACTCGGCCTGAGCCAGGAGGCCAGCCTTCATCTCATCGTTGGGATCGATGCAAATCCTGTCAAACCATCCAGACACCACAGCACTTAGAATGTGGGCCCCCCCGACCAGACCCCTTCACAGAGACAACACTAACAGCCTCTCTGCACCTTTCAGCGTGCCTAACTAGAACAAAGAACTAATGACATTTGTAATGATCCAGCTATTTCAATTGTGTTCTTTAGCTTGCAAGGTTGCAGGGTGGAACCAAGAAACTTAATTAATTTTCCTGGCTCTACAGAGACCCTCTCAGCTTATATAATCCATTGCAAACTAAAGCAGGTTAACAACTCCGTACAGACAAATCATTACCAAGGACTTTGTAAGGCCTACAGCTCAGCCCTATAAAGGTGGTAGCTGTCAATAGTTCAAACTGCACTAGTAATAATAGTAACATAGTAATAGCAATAACACAATAATAACATTATAACAGTAATAACATAATAAAAGTGATAACAGTAATAATGCAAACTGCACGGTATTACTGTTCCAACATCTAGCAGCTGTGCTTACCGGAAAATGAATGTCCCTGTGTTGAGATCAGCCCAGACCTGCAGCATTAGTGCTTTGGAGCCCAGAGAGATGACATGAAGACACCCTTCTTCCACCAGCTTGTCCCCAGAGCTGGAAGGACCCTGGTGGTCCACCCCCCGTTTCTTCTCTCCTTCTGTGAAAGAGACACTTCAAGATGTGTTTATTCCTTCACTCCTATGAGGAAAGCATTTAAATCTGCCTCCCAAGGGCTTAACGCTAGACGTTGATTTCCATATCCAGAAACTCAGAACATTTCTTAAGTCTTTACTCCGTTCTTGACCTCTTGCTTCTAAATCGATAGGCGAGTTTTAGCACATCACCTCCACGAATAAAAGGATGGAGCGAACACGTCTGCGCAAAGCAAGCAATGCGGAAATCAGACAGATGCCCTCGGAGAGCGACAGTACCTGTGCTGTCCACGCTGCTGTCCCTGAACGCCCCCAGGTGCATCCTCCTGCGCTTCCTGCTCTTGTCTGCAGCACCGTCCCCGTCGGCAGGAACCTGGGCCCTCAGCCACAGAGACACGCCGAAGCCCTCCGCCATGTGGGGCCAGCAGTTCTGCCCCACCAGGGGCAGGTGGATGGGAGCCACGTGCCAGGAGGATGACAGCTGGTGGCTCAGGGCGTCGCCCTCGGCCTCTCTCCGGCCGGGAGACGCCCGGGCCCTTCGCAGCAGCCCCGCGCCCTTGGCCCCCGGCGCCCCGCTCTGCTTGGGCCCTGCGGGGGGCCCCCCGGGGCTGGAAGAGCTGGGCAGGAGCGGGAAGGACAGGTGCTGCAGGGGCTCCATGTGCACGTTCGCTTCCACGATCCGGAGGATCCCGTTCAGCAGGATCTCCTGCAGCACAGCCAGCGGGGGGACAAAGCTGAGGGTCCGATTCACTGAGCTGCGTCAGCTCGGCCTCTCTGCCCTGCTTGGTGGCTTACTGTGGTGCCCGGTCATTATGAACAGGAAATTAACATCTTCACTTCTGCTCGGTGCAGTGAACTGAAATCTGTGACACTGCAATTCTCCGAGTTGTTCAAACCTTCCATAGTTTGCACACTATTTATTACAGATATGGTACATTGCACAGAGCGCAGTGTTCGTTACAGCTTTAGAAGACGTCTTGGAAAAGCAGAGCTTTTCTTGGGCAAGTTAAATGACATTGCCGGAATTCTTTTTTAAAACTGTGCCAGCTGTTGAGAGCTGCCGATGTACAAATTAACAAGCTGCAGTGAGGTTCTCAAAGGACCTTCATCAGCGTAGCAGTACAGAAAATGCAGGTTTTACAAACAAATGCACTGGCTGCACTGTCCCTTCGCACATACTGTATTAGAACAGAACATCCACAGCCGAGGACAAGCCATTGAAGAAGGGGAAACTGTCTGTGCAGTGAAAAGGCCAGTCTGACCCAGTGAACATGAGTATAGGATGGAAAAACAGCTTCTGTGAGGTAACTGAGGAGACTGCTTCATCTTCATCATCAACAATCAACCCAACTGTCTGTCTTAAAGGAAAGCTGCTCATAGGCAATTCCCACCAGACAATGTACAAAAATCACAGCCTAACACGAACATTAGCTCTGTTAATGGTGCTGCTTAACTCAGTACATATTAAAGTATAAATTCCCTTGGTTAGAATGAACTCTGCAGTGTTTTCTAATTAATCACATCCAAGTAAGGAATGAATGAACAGAACTGTAATCACTGTCTGGAATGTCATTCTCCTAGAAAGCACCAGGCCAAAGGCAAATATTATGCTTCTTACTACAAATGGTTTCACTTCTGTTAATTCCCAGTAGAATGAAAGAAACAACACCTGCTGAAAGAGGATTGTTCTTGAGATATTGGTATTTTGTACACAATTTCTCAGAGCTGTTTTCGGGTACCTTACTTCACTTTGGCTGGGGAAAAGTGTACTCACAGTGGGGGGTGCTTTCTCCAGAAAGAGTCGGATCAGCAGGGACAGCTCTTCCGCCTGGATCCGCACACTCACCATGGCGACCAGGAGCTCCACCAGCACAGCCTGGCACTCTGCGGGGACAGGGTCACAGTTCACACCATCGACGCCAGCTTAGCTGACCCTCCCAGGACATCCCTCGCGCCAGCTGCCCCACCGAAAGCTAACCTGGGCAGTTCTGAAATCTACAACCCTGGCAGCCTGACAAACTGTAGGTGAACATGAAGCCATCAAACCGAACAGGTTATAAATCAGGGGTTCTATTTAGGCAACTGGGAAAAGTACATTTATTGCCTTCAGCTTCCTATTCCTGCGAGGTGGTTTTGTCATGTTTCTAACTGGAGTAATTCATTTGGCACGTCTAGCAAGTACTGTAGTTAATTGATCTGATCTCCTCCAGATGTTTCTCTAGAGAAGCCTAGGACCCGGCTGCAACAACATGGACTGGTTCCACACTCCCCCAACCCGCTGTGCAAAGAGGTACAGTACCTCTCTTGTTCTCAATTTTAAATGCACTTCCACATTGCATTTGGACATTGCAAAAACATCCATTTTTTTTTTCTGAAGAACTCCAAAGGGATGACTTTGTCCAAGCCTTTTTTTAAAAACGACCTGTGAGTAGGGCCTGTATTGTACTTGCACAAAGTAACAGCAGCAAAAACGATCCTGATGACATACCTGCTGCAGAAGGGTCTGCATGGCTCAAAATATTCTGAAATCCTGTTAAAATTGTTTTCACAGCACCCTACGGAAGCAAAATATCGTTGAAAAAGTTAAGAAAAAATATTTATGATTAACAAACAACCATCAAATTTTCATTCACTAGTTTTATCCCTCATCTTCAGAAAGGGTGGGGGAGGTTATTTCTCCTTTTACTTTTTTGGTCTTGGATTAACTGTGTAATTCTAAGTAATTCTAAACACCTTGAAACGTAGTTGTACGTATTGGGTAGAGAAATGAGGACATGAATATAACACTGGATATTAATAGGACTACAAGGATACTGACTGCTGATTTTACTTTATTATAAGTCAGTACAAAACTAAATTACACCTCCGTTATCATTCAACACAGAGGTGTTAAGTTTTCCTGGAAAAAAAAATTCTAGCATTGTTGTCTAATGCAACTGCATAACACAAACTAAGCATGACAAATTTAGGGACTTGTCTTAAGATTGGACTTATTTTATAAACAAACCAGGTATGAACGTGTGCTTACATATTTGTTTTACAAGGCAGGCTAAAAAGACCCCGTCGTTGTACAAAGTACTGTAGGGTGTGTTTAACCATGTGAAATAATCCCTCTCATCACACACACAAAATTGTATGGTATATCAACTAAAATTCTGAAACAACACAGATTTGCGACAGGTATCAAACACAAATGGATTCTCACAGAATGGTGAAAGACCATCTGAAAGTTTATTATTTATTTCTGAATCAAATAGTGCTCAGTTATTTCAAAAGGATAGTCATTCCAACAGACATCTCAAGCACACGTTTGCGGTAGGGTTATGGTTCCGATCAGAAATAGGGTGAAGGTTACACTTCGGATAATGCACAGGGGTCTGGAGTGTTTCCAAGCGGGCGGATCAAAGATGTGCATGAATGGCAGCTGTGAATCACAGGGCTCGGTACGCGCGCTCCGCTCCGTCTGACCCATTCTCTCGCCCGCTGACTCAACGCTGACTGTCGAGCTGCTCACCTGCTGGTAGAGCAGCATGGCGTTGCGGGGGCAGCTCCGCACCACCCCCAGCAGGCTGCGGAACACGTGGGTGAGCACCTGCAGGTCGGGGGCCCCTGCCGACAGCAGCTGCAGCTCCATGGTGCAGATCTCGGGGTACAGGAGCACCCCCCGGCTAGGATCCTCTGCCAGGCTCCCCAGTTCGCTCTCGCCGGGAGGGGGGGGCTCCGCTCCTCTCTCTCCTGTCACAGAGAGCACAGGGGCAGGGCAGAGCCTCGTCAGCTGAAGAAGAGGAGCCGTTTCACATGCAGCCGATGTTGGATAATGATTTCTACATCAAAGCAAAGCGTTGGCAACCTTTCAAAAATGAGAGCCCCTGTCCAGAAAAAGGTAGGCTAAGGAACTGCCTATAAACAATTCCAATGTAAGAGTGAAGGCACTCAGGCCATTCAAAGACCCAGTTTGAGCTCAGCACCAGCCGATTCAGGGGTAAAATAAGAAACTGGGTCATTCCACTTCACCTCTCAACCTGCTACTCACATCTCCATCTCAGTTCAGGATGACGAATGCACATCCAAGAACAGAGCGAGCCAAAGGTTTTATCAACCTAAAGAGTACACAGCCTATAACTGCTATTCACTGATCATGGACAGATCCCCTCCTTTGTCATAAAAGCTAGTGGCCTAAAGAATTCTTGCATCAGGAAAATACAAAGCTTCCAGAACGATGCTCCAATTACTACAGCTCCCACTGCAAAAGACATTTATACCCGTTACCTCAGGTTACTCATGTAAAAGCTTAGTTTCCACTTGGAATCTTTTTGATTAAAAAGAATCAACCTTCATGGCCTGCAAGAAAAACCATCACTTGACAAAACCCTGGCATGAATTTGTATTCTGCTTTCATTCCCTGATAGGTGAGCTGATGTGGAGGAGGCAGGGACAATGAACAGTATACAGGGAAACAGTAATGTTACGGGTAATTACAGCTCATGATTATGGGGGATTGCTGAACATTACATAACCTTTATACAGTTTCCATTACTCACACCTACGCCTTTCCATTTAAACACCTGACCTTTGGCTCTGTAAATGGATAAGCACTGCACAGCAGACAGTCTTGATACGCACGACTCGCGATTTGGACACAACAATTGCTCCTCCTAACTGAAACCCTTTCCAATACACATCAATCTGGTTCCAAGGCAGAAATGCAAGGCTTACGTCATGTATGCGACAAAACGACTCTTCCCAGTCTGAGCTCCTTATGAGCAATTTAATGCTTCATGTTTATTAAGCCACGTGTAACAGCCAACACGAACTACATGTATGATTTAACACCCAGACAACTGGGGAAAGGCAAGAAGGGCAATTGTTTTCATTGGTAAAATCTAACACTGCACACATCTTTGGCACCTCCTATATCCACAAACTGCTAACAGTCCCTCTCCAGCTCTGCTTTCCTCTCTTATAAGCTCATTAACTGATTGGGGTGATTTTCAATTAATACCGCACTGTTAAAACAGCTGCTGGCATTGGGTGATGTTTACAGCTTCTGTGCATTTAAAGAAGATTGCAAAAACAATTGGCTTGTTTTCTTCAGTGCTGTGACCAATATGTTTGCTACCCATTGTTTTTTTTCTGGATATCCAAATCGGATCACTCTGAAGCAAACGTTTGCGAAAGAGGCTTAAGCACTCAATATCATCGTTTCACTCGCTAGTGCTTCATGAGTGGTTTTTGTAGGCTGAAAGCAATGAGAGGAGACTGCCCATTCCTAGCCCTCCAATGAATACAGATAACGCAGGCACTTCGGTGTCTCAGATCATCACCGCATGGACTGACAGCTTTGAGGTTCAAGCAGGCTACAGTCTAGACAATATAATACCGGAGTCTGCCACACTAATGAGTTTCCTACTTTGGCATATAAAAGATTTTATTATTATTGTGACATTTTGTTTCCCCAGACAAGGAATCAGTACAGCTACAGGATCAGTGGGCCCTGTGAACACTTCAGTGAAGTGTATCTGACGAAAACGAAAACGGCAATAAGACGGAACAGGGAGTGTGCGTACAGTAACCACGGCAACCCTTCTGATGCGGTTGCCCTGGAAACACCTCTGCCGTCAACTAGGAGATGCTGGGCCTTGTGGGGAAATGCGAGTTGAGCAAGCGTATCGATTTGGAGCTTGGGCAGAAAGTGCTCATCGATAAGGGAGAGCCACAGATGTTGAAAAGAAACGGCGTTCACTGCTTCTCATGCCCAAATAATGGTCCAATAGTAGGTTCTTTGAATAGAGGATCAAAAACAAAACAATTGGGGTCCTGGAGGGCTAAAGAAAACCACAGCAGTTCCCCGTTCACTGCGAGGTCATCCCGTGCAAGACAAGAGTTTCACCAGGACTCAGGCTTTGCGTGGAGTCCTCACACCAGAAGGAACGTAACATCGGTGGGGAAGTAGAAGTGCAAGTCTCTATTCTCAAACCAAACAAGCAAAGTATTCTTCTGAAACACTGCATCATTAAACTCACATTCTTTGAATAATAAGATGGTGGTAATGTAACACGGCAATAGAGCAGGAAAAAGCAGAAAGTCTGGAAGCCTAGGTTGTCACGATACAAACAAACAATATATATGCATAATGCAGTGATGAGTTGCAATTCACATTTATTGTGGCTACTATTCTCTGTATCTCAGAGACTGTGAGCATCCCACACCACCGCTGCTCCAAGTGCACATCTGTCCACACCCCCAGGCAAGCACGGATGTTACAACTCTTAAAGCTGCTAAAGCTACATCTCCATCAACCAAACACGAGAGGAAAGTAGATTTTTCTAAAGTGTTATTCTTTAGCTCAGCTTCTTCTGGGCAAAGACACCTCTCCCTGCGTCTACTAATCAAGTCGTTTCCAACCGCTAACAAAACACCCTATCGTAAATCAGAACAAATTCATTTCAATATGTGCATCAATCTCCTTGCCCAACAGTACCCTCAATTTTTTTTACCACAGGTTGCTTATTCTAAATAAGCAACTGGTCACCTCTTTGGTGCTGAAGCCCAAAACCCGCACTCTACCTTCCTCCCGGCTGGCCATGTCCTCGGGGTTGCTCTCGCTGTCGGCCTCGTACCCCTCCTCCTCGCCCGGGAGTTTGACGCCGCAGCACTGGGGCTCCTCCACCTCCTCCGACAGGTCCCCGAGGGGGGTGGCTGACTCCTCCTCACCGGCCTGGTGCTTCTGTCGCAGTGGGAGAAGAGGGATCAAGAGGGCTTCTTCCCCTGCCTTTCTCCAGCGGGCCTTCAGGCTCGTCTCGAAAACAACAGGATGGATTTCTGCTTCTGACTTTCCTTGCCTCCATAACACAGAAGTGCGCCTGCACTTCCTATACACAGTATCGCAATGTCGACACTGCCCCCTAGAAATGTTTAAAATCCTGATCTCTGCAACATGATCATCCAATTAAATTAAGACATGCATCAACTTCTGATCAAATAAGATTAATTCCTTGCCAGGAGAATAGTCGCTTCATTGCATACAGATGTTTAGTCAATTAAACTGTAAGTCAAGAACAAGCTCTTCCAGAGCTGCAGGAATGAGACGACAGCCTTGTAAGCACTTCTGTGTGACACATCAGGGAACCACCTCTTACACAAGATGTGGGCAAGAAAGTCTGGTTGTGCAATGCAAGACTACAGTGCTTCTTTCTTTCCATTGAAAACCACATCTCTCTTTTTTAACCCATGCAGTACAGAAAACCTGTACTGATTTCTTTGGATATTCCAAGAAAAGTCCAAAGCTGTGATCTCCAACTCCTGTGAACAACTCCTGCCCCTGATTTTCTTTTGATTAACAGAGTACTGGCACTCATTTCTGCTGGTCTTGTTTCTGGCACGTTATTAGCGATTTGAGAAGGGATTTGACTCAAATTTCATGGCTCTCTCACAATGACTCATGACAATTGTCACAATGACTTCCTTTAACAGGAGGTAAAAAAGTGCAAGGACAGCTGTTTAAAAAGTTGAAGTGTTAATAGTGAGCGTCGCACATGTGCCTTTACAACAGTGATATTCACCGCTGGTCCTGGAGGTCCTTACCCTCTCCGTTTTCTCCTCAGGGGATTCCGAGCCGGAGGAGACCTCTGCCAGGGCCACGCGGAGCAGGGAGTCGAACAGCGGGAGAGCGAGGTCCGAACTCACCACCCCAGAGTGGGACAGCTGCTCCCGCACCTCGCCGAGGGTCTCCTCCACGGTCAGCTGCTGTGGGAGACCAGACACACGGTGACGCAAGGTGCCCTCAGCAGCCCCGCAAGGACCCCGCCAACGGGTGTTGAACTCCGCAACGGGGAGAGGCCAACTTACAGCCAAGAGAAGTCCAACAACATCAGAATAAAAAACTGGGTAACAAAAAGGGGTATCGCAGCCATTCCAACATTTCATAACTGTTTCTCAACAAAGGAAGGGAAGAACATAGGTTTTGTTCATCTCTAATGATTTCAGAAGTCGTAAAGGAGTGAACTACTTTAAAAATGTCATCAAAGAGGGGCTCTGAAACACAAGACTGGAGTCGAGCTGTAATTAATTCAGCTAGTGCTACTGCAGTGATGAGCAACAGCCCAGACCTTGAACAATCCAACAAAACTGCATTAAAAGACGCTACAGCAGTAGTGGAAGAGCACACTAAACTTTAAACCACTCAAACAACACGGGGAAGTCAATACCTGAAAGGAGAGCTCTGGTTCTGTTTTCTGGGGTCCCTGGTTAGCACTGTGCAAGCATATTGCCAGCAGAGCTTCCAGGAGCCTGATGCTCTGATGGGGCCACTCCTCTTCCAGTCTCGTGGCCAAGTCTTTCCCATTGGATGCAATCTGTCCCAGGCTGCAGGCGTCGGCCGGCCCCCGATGGCAGTCGTCCGCCTGGGTGGGCAGCGAGGTGACGGACCCTGCCGGGCGGAGATCCTGCTGGGATGGGCTGGAGCTGCCTTGGGTGTCCCTCTTCTTGGCCTTGCTGTCCTTGGTTCTTAAAGCCAGCTTCTGGATGACCATGATGATGAGCCGGGGGCAGACGTCCAGCCCGCCTAGCTTGTAGAACTGCCTCTGGAAGACAGGGCTGGAGAGGTAGATCCCGCGGCAGGCGGCCCACACGTCTGCTGCCCGGCGGATCTGTTCCTTGGAAGGCAGCACCACGCTGTCGGGGGACAGACAGGGCAGGCGGCCGCCCAGGGGCTCACTGGCCGTGCTGTCGTACCCCGAGGTGTCCTCCGAGTCGTTGGCCGAGTCCCGGTCCGCCTCCGCCTCCTTGCTGACGCACAGGAAGGCCACGCACAAGAAGAGGTTGATGGCGCCGAGGTGGGCCTCGCTCCCGCCTCCTCCCCGGCTGCTCCTCCTGCGCGGGCCGGCCTCCTTCAGCCCCGCGTAGAACCTGCTGAGGTTCTGTGGCCCCTCTCCCGCCGCCCTGCCGCCCGGGCCTGCCCCCTGCTCCAGCGCCTGTGCCTCCCTCTCTCTCTCCCCGGCCTCGGCGGTCTCCGGCTCTCGCAGGGCGCCGGCTGCCGGCTGCTCCCCTGCTGCACTCAGGATCAGAGTCTCAAACACTTTCAGCGCCGACGACCGCACCGGGTCCAGGTAGATCAGCTCCGTCATCTGACTCAAGCCGTTACAGCTCAGGAACTGGTCCCTGATCACCCTGAGGAAGGCACACATCGGCAATGAGACCTCCTGCGGCACGACTCGGCACGACTCGGCACGACTCGGCACGACTCGGCACGACTCGGCACGACTCGGCACGAC